TTTGACCTATTAAAAACTCCCTTGTGTGACTGGCCCAGTTAAAACCCTGAACATGATTATCACTACTATTATTTATTATTTATTTTTATTTGCTCATTTATCTATTTATTTCATTTTTGCGTGTGTGTGTGTGTGTGTGTGTGTGTGTGTGTGTATGTGAGAGCCTATACAGTGTCTGTTTAGGTAGCCCGCCTAGAATAGCTACGCTAACTGCGGGCTACAAAAGCCTTTATATCTTTAATTTAAAAAAAAATAATGATAAAGTCAAAAAGTCAAGTCAAAGTTGAAGCTTTTAATTCTCGTTTAGTTCCTTCGACTTCTTTCTCCAATTGTTTCATTGAAGATTCTACCTTTTTCATGATTCCTTTTACTTCTGTATCATTCTGATACCAGCGCTGCAATTCCTCCACATGTCTCATGTCGTCTTCAGTAAGAGGATCTTTTAAAAATGTAGCAAAAGCATTCTGCCATTTTTTTGCCTTTGCAGGGCTGATCTGACCCGCAATTCTCACCAGAGCCTCTCTGATTTCTCTCCAAAGATCTGAAAACTCGTCATCTACTACTTCCAAGTTCTCGTTCACATGACCATTAATTCTCGCTAAATCGGCTCCAAAGCTGTGGTCTGTACTTGCAGGTTAACAATCCCAGCCCGTGGCAGGAGGGGTGAGGCCGCATATCGTCCTCAACAACCGGAAAAGGAGAGTTAGATCAAAGTCTGTTGACTCTCCATACACCCCCGGGGAAGGGCACAGGCAGTCTCACTGTGGTTTGGTGAGCTTTGCTGCCTTCAGCAACTTCTTTCTGGCTGAATTCTGAAGTATTGTGGGAAGATTACTCGGTGGACATCTGATGTCAAAAACCTCCCTCAAGAGCACAGTACCTCCACTTATTAAAAGCCGGGCCATTCGTTGAAAATTATCTCTTCCTTTCGAAGAACGAAGCACCACATCTGACAACGCAAGACAAGACAATTTTATTTAGCCAGGGTGGCCCAGTCAGCTGCGAGGCTGGTATCCTTAGGGACCCTGGTTTCTATAAAATTTACATATACACATTTCCAATAAAATTACAAAGTTGAATAAAATTTGCTAACATTAAAAGATCTGGATCCAGAGTGGCTGCCATTTTTAAAGAGGACAAACTGTGCGAGAGATTAACGGAGTTAACGGTAAATCTCACTTCCCTGCTTAAGTAGGATGGGTGGATGATTAAGAAGAGAGAATAAAAACGGATTCCTCTCAATGATACTTAGAAATTTTCTATCCACGTTATGTGGGTATGGTTTTATTGGCAAGGAACTGCTGTTCAACAACTCTGAAGTGTTTTTTAATCCTGTAAGAAGATGAATTCTTACAAGAGTACCTGAAATACTCTGACCTTAGTCCCTTTAGCAACAGCGAAATATATATAGAGTCCAACGAGTGACTTGAAATCTCATGTCCCACATACTTAATTACATCCTCGGAGACCCAGGGGCTGAGAAGATTTCAAGTTAGGGCATGAAGAGCCCCTGGGGACATTGTCTTACAAGACTAGTTCCAAACGGTCGCAGTCGTTCTGCCATCTGATTGGTGCCAGAAAATCTTTGTGTTTTTCTGCCCAATCAGAGTGAGGTGTGCTTTAGAGTCCTTTCGTGTGTTTTAACACGGACATATACTTGTAGCGCAGTTGCTCGCCATGTTTGTTTGGACCGTGCGACAGAGATTTGCTTGAGGTGAAAAGTTTCAGTCTCGGCACACAACGTAAGAGAAATCGATCAGATTGTCCGCGAAAATCTTACCGGAAATTATACTGAATACTTTCGCAGGTATCACTAGAGAACGTGTTTTAAAGTTTGCGAGGTTTGTATACCACACGATGGTTGCAGTCATTGATATGTCGCTTTAAACGATAAACGAGATTTAAGCTTAAATCTTTCTAGATTTTTTGCATAATTTGCTGTGACTGAAACTTTGCCAATCCCGTGAAGTTATTTCGTCGCACGGGCCACGCAGGTATGTCGAGCAACTGGTACTTGCG